GGCACAGGTACGGCAGCGTATTATGCAGCGTTAGCAATCCGAGCACGTGATGCCGACGCTAAAGTTTTGATGATCGGTGACGAAACTCAACTTCCATATAATCGACCACCTCTTTCCAAAGAACTCTGGTGGTATGGTGATGATAAGGTTCATTCGTTCACTTAGTAGCGTTGTTCTTCTCATCATTACAGTCATTAGTATCCTTGTTGGTTTATTCCAGTGTTCCGCATTGATATTCCGTTGCATTTCTACTAATCGTATTTCGGATATTTTTCATTGTGATAAATGTTAGTGATTGTTACAGATGAGTGAAACGTTGGAATATAAAGGATTGAGTGGTAAGAAGAAGGATGTTTATTATGAATCACCAGGCTTTTATGTGCCATCGAATGAGATCAGTAAAGCCGAGCATGGCGGTGTTTCGTTGGTATTAGGACATCGGGTGGTTAAATTAGACCCGATCGCGCATTTCGCTTATTTGGATGATGGTCGCAAAATCAAGTATGGCAAATGTCTTATTGCAACTGGTTTGTATCTGATTGCATTTTCGATTTTTTTAAAAATGATAATTAATATTTATCAAACATGAAGTTTTTCCCTCTGAAGACCTGTTGTGAACAGTTCTCATTCGCTGATTGCATAGGTGGTTTCTGATAATTCCCGTCGATTCCCTCCAGCGAATTTTTTTCTGGTCTCCAAGTAAAAATCTCATCGAAGAAATTGCTCTTTCATTCTAATGTGAGTTTCTCGAAATATCCCTTACTGGTTGTCGAAATAATCCGTAGGTTTTTTGTGAAATTCACCTATGTAATCGTTTCATTCCGTTACAGGTGGTTCTCCTCGTAATTTACCAGTATTCGAAAGCGCTGACGAAAAAGTGAAGAGTAAAGTCACACTCTTCCGAACGGTGCGTTGCCTTTTGTCTCCCGTAGAATTCAGTCTTATTGATCGCGATTAAGATTAATGCTGTTGTTCAGTACAGCCACCGAAAGTTTGACTTTTTATTTTATTAATATATTCTACTCTACGGACTGATGAATGTATAATTGTGTGTATATTGGAACGAAATTACAGATTGATGATTTCCGTAAATTGGATGAGATAGCAAAGAAAAGTCATTCGATAACCGTGGTTGGCGGAGGTTTTTTGGGATCGGAATTGGCGTACTCTTTGAATAAGCGATATGCGAACGATAAAGTGAAGATCAGTCAGGTAGTGTAAGCATTTTGCAAATAACCACTCTTGTTGTGTTCACTTATCATCACGTCATCGAGTGTATTTTCATAGTGTTTGTTGTAAAAGATCAATTTGTGAAGAGTTACATTTGAGTATGTATACGATTGCAAGTTGTTGTCGGATGATTGAGGAATTCGGTTCTCTTATGTAACTTTAGATTGCATTTTATTATTCAGTTTGCTGTAGTTGTTTATTTAAGTGTTGATTTCATTAGTTTATTTCGTTAGCATGAAATGGAGTGCAAACGTGGTGTTGCCTCATCTCCGAGGACATTCCAAGAAATGAGGAATGCAATCAATGAATTTTCTTACTTATTTTCATTTACTGCTTAATTTTGTTGTAAAGCCGATTTATGAAAATAGGTATTCCCCGAGAAAGGTAACGTAGCGGAGGTATTACCTGAATTCTTGAGTGAATACACGTCGAAGGAACTAAAGAAATATGGAGTTAATGTTATTACGGAAGCTGAGATCACGGATGCAACGGTTGATGATCACGGATGCTTGAAGATGACATTGACGAATGGAGGTTGGTTGTTCTTTTGTGTATTGTCGTATTTGGTGGATTGTCTGTGGTATTTGATTGATGAAAGGGTAGTTTCTCTTATGTGAATGTGGAACCGTCGAAGTTAATTTTGATGTGGAACTTCTAATTGTCGTTGTTATTATTTGTGGCCAATTAATTGATAAAAATGTTGTTTCACAGTTTTGATGGATGGCAGACGAATTGTTCGAAATGTGTTTGGAAACTCTGATTTCAAATAGCTCGGATTAATTTTAGGGATATGATTTGATGCAATTCCCTAATGTGGCTTTATTTTCTTTTCAGAGGTTTTGCATACTGACCATGTGGTGGTAGCCGTGGGAATAACTCCAAATACAGATCTTGCCAAAACCTCAGGTCTTGAAGTAGACAAGGTTAGTGAGAATAGTTTTGGAATGCTGTGTTATTTGAACTAATTCAATGGGAACGTGAAATTGTCTCATAGTTAAACTGTCATTAGAATATTCTTCATTATATTAAGTTTTTTTAATGCTCGGTCACATCGTCGGATTCAGGCTCTTTGCGGCTGTTGGATGAGAGAATTAAGGCCCTGAAGTTCGAATGGGATTGATTCGTAACCTGACGTCGGAAATAGAGGATTTTTAAAAATGAGGATGCAGTCTAAATAGTTGAGTTTTAGAAAAATGGTGGATTCATCGTGGATGCCGAACTGAGAGCTCGTTCGGATATTTGGGTGGCTGGTGATGCGAGTAGTTTTTACGATGTGAAGTTGGGTAGAAGACGGGTGGAACATTGGGAACATGCTCAGGTCACTGGAAGATTGGCTGGCGAGAATATGACTAATGGTAAGCATTTATATTTTGAATTGGAATCGGACGAGTGAACGTTTTGGAATGATATTGTGCTGTAGGGGTCATTNAGCATTTATATTTTGAATTGGAATCGGACGAGTGAACGTTTTGGAATGATATTGTGCTGTAGGGGTCATTACGTTTTCGTACATTTTCCATTGCTCCATCGATTGATTTTTATATGCTCTCATTATTTATTTATTGGTTTTTATCGTCTGATAAGAGATTAAGGATTTCATCAAATGTAGGCAATGTTTTTTGTGTTCTTGAAGATTACTCTACATTCTAGTTCATTAATGCTCATTTTATGCAGTGAAACAGTGCAAGTTTAAGTTGAAGTTATTGTTGAACTGATCGCACAACTGCAGTAGTAAAAGCCTCATTATTTTGTATTGTTCAGCTGGTAAGCCGTATTGGCATCAGTCATCATATTATTCCATCATCGCGCCAAATACCCATTTCCAAGCTGTCGGTCGTGCAGATTCCTCGCTACCAACTGTTTCGGTGTTTGCCGCTTCGAAGGATGAGGTAAGCGAATTGAGTTCAATGCGTACTGATTGAATGTTACGAGAAAGGTTTCTTCACAACGTAAGGAATTGATAATTTCAGTCGGATGAATTGTCCAAAGGAGTAATCTTCTATATGGATGGGAAGCAAGTGGTTGGTATGGTGTTATTTAATGTATTCGGTAGTGGTATTGACGTTGCGAGAAGAATTATTTCTGATGGAAAGGAACACGATGATTTGAAAGAGGTAATGTCAAATCCATTCTCATTCATACATTCAACAATACTAACTTTCGTTCGTATTTTGAATTGTTTACTGAAATTTATTTGGATCAGTTGAAGTGATAAGTGAACACTTTTTATTAGTGTTGGAATTGCTTGCAGGTGGCAAAATTATTTGAATTACATCCGAGTGAAGAAGACGATCAGAACGATACGAAGGACAAGTAAACGAATGACTGATTTAAATGATTTCGAGTTGATATTCAGAGAATGATATCAATTGTAGGTGTTCGTAGTTAGTTTCGTACCGATTTAATTCGTATTGTTTGTCGTCTGAAAAGAGAAAGTAGTTGATATTTTCCGAAATTATCGCATTTGTGATCAACAATTGAGTGGTATTGATCGATTATTACATGTGCTGTCTATTTACGGTGTTCTTTACTATAATCTTACTGAGGGTATATTTTGACTAGAATAACTATTTTGTTGTTACTGTTTGTTTTGAGGTGTTCGCCTGAGATTATCTGTTAACTGATCAGTTCGTTCTTTAAATCATAGATGATGAAAAGTAATTCTGAATCTTTTCTGTCGCCTAATTCTCCAGCTACCTCCAAAATGGAAGTGTTCACCACAATCGAAAAAGATAAAGTTTAGTTCATGAATGTATTTCGTGAACATCCTCGGATAAAAAATTATGTTCGATCATAGTTGAAATATAGTGTGCGAGTGAGTGAATCGCAACTGATTACGTCGACATTTTGAAGCTGACGATTAGT